GGTTGAACTGTTGGATTATCTTGACAGTATTGACTGCAGTTTAGAGGACTTCCAAGCTATGCTATCAGGAAGGCAATTTAGCATAGACCCAGATCTCCTGGTTGATGTAAGTACTTTGGATAATCTTTGCTGAACTGGTTACTTATGTGTTTATATATGTGATTTCTAAATCAGTGCAGCATTTTCTTCTCTTTATCTACACTGTGGTGTGTTTTCTTTTTAAAAAATGAATGGTTTTTAATGATCAGAAAGCATGAACAGATGTGTTCAGGACATTAAAGGAGAATGATCACAGTATTGCTTCTGAGTAGCAGTCAAGTTAACCCTCCTATAACAAACACATCAAATCTACTCAGCGATATTGTTAAGTTCAAGTCTTGTCTGGGCCTGTTGCTATTTTATGTTTTGTTCTAGAATAAATTATCAGTGGCTAAAAATCTGTGGGTACTTAAAAATTAATACTTCCCTTCAGATGTACAATTTTTCAAAAATGTGCTGTCTTTTTTAATGTTCTGAGTTACAAATTTTTCCTGTTCTAATCCCACCACTTCACTTGTAAATTTGGCTCCAATTTTGTCTCAACTCAACTTTTAATCCTTATCCACTATTTCTGACAGTAACTCTTCTCGCCATCTTGTTCCTCCCACTCCTTGTCTCTTACCTGAAATGTTCCTGGTTTCCCTCACTTTAGTCTTTTTCTGCCCCAGCCTCATTTTCTAATGTGACCCAGATTCTCTATTTATATTGGTATTATTGCTTCTTTATCCGTCTACATTTGTTGCCTTATATCGTTTCTACAATTTTGCCTTTTTAAAGAGTCTTGGCCAAAAGGTAATCTTCTTGCTCTTTAATGTTATTTCCAATAAACTGATTTACTGTTCTACTCCACCTGTCCTCTTTACCAGGATCACATGACTTTACCACCCTGTCTAAATCCTCAGTACCTCACAGGATGGCTTTTGCTTCTTTGAAGCTTTTCTTTTCAGATCAGATTATGTTGCCATCTTAAATGAATTCAACATCTATGTTGATGACCTCCATCACCTTCTTAATAGTAACTTGACAGTTCTTTTTTTTTGTCAGTCTCCACTATGAATGCAGGAATATCTGTTCCTTAAGCTCACCAAGAATGAAATAAAATATTGTTCTCATCCTCTACCAATCTGTCATTTTCAGCTGTTACTATTTTTATGTTGTCTAATTCAACTTCTGAAACATTTACTTTTTTTTTTTTTTTTTTTTCCTCATGACCTTGTGTGACAAGCTCTTCCCTGTTCACTGTGGATAATTCACTCTGCTCCAGTCTTTTTAAAAGCTGTGATTATCTTTACTCTTCTATCCTTCTTTTGTAGCAGGATCCTTACGTCCTCTTTAAAGCCAATTTGTATGCCTACCTGTCATCTGCTTGTCTAGTTTTTGTATCTCTACCTTTAATCTTTCCCATCTGCTTTCCATAAATGCTTATCTTCCCCCTTAAAGATAAACACAAAATAGAAAAAGTTTGCAATATTTCCCTATTCGTTCTTATTTTTTCTCACTACAAATTTTAGAAATGTGCTGCTAATTTAACACTTTCTACACAATTTTTATGAAACCTTGTATCTTTTGCTAATTCACTCTAACCTTCTGTTGTCTGTGCTGTCTTGTTTTATTCAGAATAAATAGATTATGCTTTTCTTTCTTAACAAATCAGGTCACGAGGCTGCTTAAAGAAAGTTTCCTTTGGGTCAGACAAATCTAGATTCCTTAGTTGACTTATAGTTGTCGTTGTTGTTGTGTACTATAGAGTTGGAATCGACTCATAGCTGACCCTTGGGCAGCTTTTCAGAGGCAGTTAATGGCACAGGAGGAGATTGCCTATCCTTTTCATAGTAACACTAGTTATTATGTTTATTAATCCTTTGAAAATTAGCCTTTCTTGCTGTTTCTCATGAAAATAAAATGTGGCTAATGCCTAAATGCTCTTGAGAAGATTATGAATAATTATTATTAATACAACTTCATATACCACAACAGAACTTTTTCTCTTGATTTTAAAGGTACTAAATCTCTTTGTTCTCTTCCTGTCTTCCTAATCATTATTTTTCCTTTACAGGGCTTTTCTCTTTCTGTTGTCTTCTGCTAGTGGTTATTCTTTGAGACACCAGTCTTTAATCCTTTTTTAATTTTCTCTACCTCTCAACTTTTTTTTCTTTTTCCTGTTTGAAGTGATTCTAGCTTATCCTAAAATTATCTGTAGGTCTTTAGTCTTTTTTTTTTAACTTTGCTAAAATTCTAATGTCACTCCTCTGAAATCATCGTATCTTGTGATGGATTATTTGTGTTTGATGCAAACTGTACTCCGTGTAAACTGGAGTATATATAGTATTTTCTATAGTGGCATTATATTGTGTTTGACAGAATCATTATCTCCAGATCACCTCCTTGATTTCCTGTTTTCCTAAGTAACTTTTATAAGATATCCTTTTTATTTCCCATCAAGTCAGAAATGACTCAAGGCTGACTCTCTAAAAAGTTTTGAGGCAGTAAATCACGTGGGAGGAGATTGCCCATCTTTCTCTCACAGAGTAACTGATGGATTCTAATTACATGTCTTTGGGTTGACAGCATTAAGCCACCAACCTCCCTTTCTACTCTCTAGTGTCTTACTATTACCTACATTTTGTCCCTGAATTATACTGTCTATAAACCAAAGTCATCTACCTGTGAATTGTGTTGTCCTTGAGATAGCAGAGATGGAAAGGACATGAATAATTGTACTGAGGATCTCAGGCAGTCTCTCTGCAGATCTCAGGCAGTCTCTCTGCAGATCTCAGTACAAGAGGTCCCAAGGTTAAAATCAGGAGGGACCTGGCCTTAAGCATTCACATAACTGTATCAGCTCATCATTCTTTATTTACTTTTTTTCTACTTCCTTCTTTTTGTCTGCTGGGAATATATGTGAATTTTCCCTAAGTAAATGGGTAAGGAGTATGCGGTTAAAGAGGGGAAGGGCAGAACATATACTACTGGCTTGCCTGATGATCACCCTCAGTGAGCATAATGCCTGATTAGACCTCTGAGACAGTAACAAGCTGAGCTGTTCCTTCTATCGTCTCCTTTCCAAGTCCTAACAGTTCTTGGATGGACATGTTGCATAGTTCTTTTTAGTTCTTTCCATTCCTTTCATGTGGGAAGTATGTATGTTTATACCTTCTCCTTATTCCTTAACACGTGTGAGCCCCACTGTCTATTATCATAATAGTGCATTGTGTCTGATCATATGTTTGCTATTTGATGTTGATTTTGTCTTTTAGATTGTAAGCTCCTTAGAGCAGGAATAGTGTCTTCTTTTTGTGGTTTTTGTGATGTAATTTATTTTTTAAATACTCAGTAAATTTCTCTGGAACTCATGGATTTGCAGTATGACAGACAAAAACTGCTTAAACTGACTGAATTGAGTTATGCAGTAAACAGTGGTCTTAGCACTTAAGAACTTAAGTTTTTAGGTAGGTGAAGTGAAAAGAAGCAACAAGTCTGTGTTCTATCTTGTTATGGAGCCATTTGAGTTAATGATTTAAAAGCCACAGTGAAAATTTATCAGCCCATTAGCAGATCTTCAGTGATGGCTTAATATCTGGGTAAGGGGTAGGACTAGTTACTCCTTTGACACTTACACCCAAAGACATTTGAGAAGAAAAATTAAAATGAAATTGAGTGGAGAATATTGAAGGATAGGAGAATTGAAGAGGAGCAGCATTTGTCTCTGGTGATTTAGCTCACTGAATTAGGGAGATTCTTAGAGCCCTCAGGTTAGGTTAGAACAGTCAGGTTTTCATCTAGTGCAAAGACTCACTTGCACTGATTTCGTTTTCCTGTTGGATTTTTTCTTTTGTTTTTGTTTGTTTGTTTGTTTGTTTTTTTCTACTTCATACTTGGTTTACTGTAGGGAGACTTCCCTAGTCCAGGAACTTCATCTTCACCCAACATGGCTGTTTGAAAATTATAAACACACAGTTAATTCTTTTAAAATACCTTTTAAACTTATGATCTTTCTTGTTTGGTCTTTCAGCTTTTCACTAGTTCTGTGCAGATGAATCCCACAGATTACATCAATAATACAAAAGTAAGTTTTATTCATATTGCTCAGGACCCATAGCTGTAAGAATCTTTAAGGGGGAAAAAAAAATCCTAGTAAATAGAGAGCAATATCACTCCCAGATACAAAAAAAAGCATTTTTTTTCTTGATGAAAAACTAGTTTTTAGTATGGGATGAACTACTTCCCAATTCTACTGATGCTTGTGGAAATAACTACCGTTATGAAATCAACCTTTCTTCTATTGATGCTCAAAGGTATTCTGATTAAGTTCAAGAGTAATAAGATATACCTTTGAAATGAGCTATCAAAATATGATTTCTTCATGTTTTATTTATTGCATTTTACATGCTTATTCCTTCCATAAGCAAATTCTTAATATTTTTAAAAGAAGTTTACTGATGCCCATATTCTTTTGTCTATGAGCTCAGGAGTTTTCACTGATTGGAGTTAAGGAAGTTGAAACAATTTATTAAGGAATTTTATTTTTTAATGTAATAAAACTTTTATTAACGTTTTTAAATTTATAGAATCTCCATTTGAACTATCAAGTATTAATAAGAGAGTCTTTAGAACTATGTTTTTTAAAAGACACTCTGAAACTGTTAGAGATACTTAGTCATTATATTATTTTTTAACATTTATTGCTTTCAATAGGTTTTTTTTTTCTTTACCCTCAGACTGACTCATAGCTGACCCTTATTTGGGTTTATGGAGGCTATTTGTGGCAGACGGCGCATAACAACAACATTTGTGACAGGAGAGGACATTACTCCTCTTTCTCCTGAGATGCCACTGGTGGATTTGAACTGCCAGAGAGACACTACCTTTGGATTAGCTGCACAAACTCCTTATGGGCTATACCAACTGAGCTCGCCTGAATATATATGTATTATAGGAAGCAGGAATGGCATCCACTTCCATAGCCCCCTTTTATTTTATATATGAATTGTCTACTGGTGTCATGGTTAAAATGCTTAGCTACTAACTGAAATGTTAGTAGTTCAAACCCACCAGTTGCTCCAAGGAAGAAAAATGTGGCAATCTGCTGTAGCAGTTTTTAACCTTAGAAAGCCTGTGAAGCAGTTGTACTCCATCCTTTAGGGCTGCTGTGAGTTGGAATTTTATATATATGCGCTCAGTTGTTTGGTGAAGCTTACTTTTTCTAAATTGAAATATAAATAGTTCTCTTGATTTGTTTTCAAATTCTTGATTAATTGAGTAAGAATTTTTAATTCTTATTTATAATCTAAAAATGAGCATACCTCGGATAAGTTATTGGGATTATAGAAGTACTTTCCTGTTTTCATCTGTGAACATAATCTTAACTAGATTTTCTGCATTTTCAAAATTATCTTCTGTATAATTCAGTATTTAAATAATTTTTAATTTGTAACTATGAAGGTGATTATACATTCCCTATCTGGATGATTTATATCAGGAATTGACATACTTTTTCTATAAATAGCTAGTTAATGATTATTTGCCATTTTGTGAGTCATATAATCTCTATTATTATTATTCAGCTCTGTTGCTGTAACGCAAAAGGAGCAATCAGTAATCCGTAAGAGTGAGTGTTGCTGACATGATTTTATTTATAAAAGGAGACAGCATGCTGGATTTTGCCTGTAATTATTATTTGTAAAAATACTAAGATTTCTTGGACCACTTCAGCTTCATGTTCCAGTAAATACAATCATTACTTAATGCTCCTAAGCCATAATCAGGAGCACTGGTGGCCTAGTGGCAAGAAGCTGTATGCTGTAATATCGAAGGCACACAGTCCAAATCCATCAGCTGCTCCATGGAAGAAGAATTTACAATCTCCTGTGTGATTAACTGCCTCTGAAAACCCACCGGAGGGTCAGCTATGAGTCCGTTCCAACTTGATGGTACACAACAACAAGCCATAATAGACCTTAAGTTGAAAGGACTCATTGCTAAGCATTAAATCACCTTTTATTTTTGGATCAAACTCCTTAATTCAGAAAACCTAAAGTTTGAACAGTTTTTAAAAATAGCTTCTAAACCAAGTTGCTTAATATTCCCGTAATAATAGTAGTCCCATAATACTGTGGGGGAAAAAATTGAAAGTGAATTTTGTTTATAATTTGTCCTAGAATCTAGATTAATGTTTTTAGATTATAAGCATATTAGCTGTTATTTTCTTGTTACTTACACTTAAGTAAAGTGGTTAGTGTGTGTGCGTGTGCGTGAATAAACACACATTTATTCCTAATATATCAAAACACATACTAATTAATACAGCAGTCTAGATGGTCATTACTAATGGATGAAAGTTTGTATAGAACATGAAACTCATTTGTTATCCTGGTTGTCATCTATTTTAGAACAATAGTGGCATTTTTGGATATTTTAGGAAATAAAAAAATAGTATTACATTAATGTTTTATACTGAATGTTAAATGAGAGAATATTTTTATGTAAATCAGGGGAGGAGGTTTTTTAAGGTATATATAGTTATTTCTGTGGCTGTTCTCTGAATCGTTGGAAACTTGTAGTGTTCAGTTAATGGTGAATAACACAGGAAATACAAAAATTACTATATAGATGTTTGATACACAATATATACTTAAGTAATGCTCATATCTGGAACTTATACCTGTTTAGGAAAAATTGTGAAACTTGTAACCTCAAATTATTATCATCACTGGAATGAACACCAAAGACATTAATAATAGTAAAAATTTCATCCCACTACTGTCCTCAGACATAATGAGAGAAAGCTGTGACTGAAAAGAAGCATGTGAAATGTCAAAAGAACTGAAAGAGCTGTAAGAAGGAAAAGAGACATAACCATGTCAGTTTTGAGGCTTCCAACATATAGTTTTAAAGCTGTTGTCATATAGTTAACCTAACCTTTTACAGATGTATTCATTATATTTAAAATACATTTAATTGCTTAAAATGAGTCACATACCATCATAAACAGTCATATTTAAATCATTCCTATCTTTTTCTTTAACTAATTCTGTATCATTTCCTGTTGAAATGACTTCTCCTGTTTATATCTATTGTCATCCTAGTTCAGGTTCTTTGTTTCTTTCTTTTGAAAACTGTGGTTTCTTAACCAGTTTTATTCCTTCTAAATCTTTCTATTCTAGTACATCTTTCCTTATGTTCCTATTTTCCAGTATGTTTAAGATGATGTCCCTGTATTTATATTCTATACTATATCGTTTTTTTGCATTTTCAGGAAAAAAAGAGTATGAAACAGAAAAGTATTTTTTTTATTTATTTTTTTTTCTTTTAGTCAGAGAATAAAGGAATAGAAACTAACAAGAACAATATAGTTCAGCCAGTTTCTGAAGAAGGAAGAAAATCTAAATCCAAAGCAGGTATGTACAGATGTGTTACTTTGATAGATTTTTCAACTTTTGAGTCATAAAAGGAGATATGATGGCATAGTCCATAGAGACTTGGGCTGTTATTCTAAGGCAGTATCTCCCATTAACTCCTCTGCAGTAGAAATGCGGAATTTATAATGCCTGTGGACTTTATAGGTCCAGAAACTTAATGGAGTGTCAGCTGTGAGTCCAGTAATGAATTGAGTTGAATGAGTGGAGGGTCCCTCATAGAAACAAATGTGAGCTCAGGAATTCCTTGCCATACGTAACGATTGAGTTCTGCATCAAGGTTGTTCAACAGGCCTGTACAAAGTGTCAGGGTTTCCGTATATAGAAAAAATTAAATTTGTGAAGTAGTAGTTTCTTAATGTTTAAGTTACAGGTATTTTTTTTTTCTATTTTACTTGCAGTTACCTAAAAAGAAAGCTCATTTATTTCTTAATTATTAAATAAGAAATTTAACTTTTTTACTTGTCTGGTTGTTTTTTGTTTTTTTTTTTAGTTTACTAACAAACTATCATAGTTTATATTTAGCCTGTAAGGATAGTCTTCAAGCACAGATTCAAGCACATCTCAATACCCCATCCCACCCCATTCCCTTTTAGCTTGAACTCTGTGTGTTGGTAATAAAAGAGTGTTTTTCTAATCTTTGTAGATAAGCAACTTATCCAATACACTGCCTTTCCACTTCTTGCATTCCTCGACGGGAACCCTGCTTCTACTGTTGAACAGGGGAGTGCAACATCATCAGAAGTTATGTCTTCTGTAGATAAACCCATAGAAGTTGATGAGCTTCTGGATAGTAGCCTGGATCCAGAACCAACCCAAAGTAAGCTTGTTCGCCTGGAGCCATTGACTGAAGCTGAAGCTAGTGAAACCACTCTGTTTTATTTATGCGAACTTGCTCCTGCATCTCTGGATAGTGATATGCCACTTTTAGATAGCTAAATTCCCAAGAAGTGGACTCTACATGTATATATTCATCAAAATGATGAATTATTTATTTTCAAGTATCATTTGGTACTTTTTTTGTAAATTGCTTTGTTTTGTTTAATCAGATACTGTGGAATCTAAAGCACCTCTTGTTTTTTGTTTTCTCACTAACCACACATTCTTGCAAAGCTTTCAGATGTTACTCAGCTGCATAAGTATGCAAGATTCAGTGCACATATTGACATATCTTTAAGTTGTTCAAATGGTCATTTTTCTCCAACTGCAGTAAATTGAATTTCTTTTTTTACATATAAGCCCATTAACCCCAGTTAAACTTTTATTTGTTTGTTTGTTTGTTTGTTTGTTTGTTTTACTTGTTTGGTGTGTCTGATTGCATTGTGTGTAAGTCATTAAAGCTAATGGTAGAACTCTTAAAGCTTTCTCTATTCTAATTACTTTTATTAAATATTTTTCATTTTGTTTATTTTTAAAACTGGGAACATAAAGTGCCTGTATCTTGTAAAGCTTCATTTGTCTTTCTTGGTTCAGAAAAGTTCATTCATGTTCAACAGGAAAGGCAAAGTGTACATGAATGCTCGCTGATATGGTTCCAGCTTCATATGCATGGAAGAAAGAAGGGATGGGATGGAGTCAGCCCCATCCGCTCAGTTGGATTAGTTTCAAGTAAAAATTTCTTGTTTGTTTGTGTTTTATTGAACCATACTGTTTAGTAAAATAAATATAATGAATGTTGAGTACTAGTGTTTGTTTTTGTCTTCTTTAGAAATGACACCCACATGTAACAACTTTTTATGCTCATAGCAGCAGATGGCCTTAATATAGTTTGTCACTTTTCTTCATTTGAATCACACCAAAATTTTTGTGCCTCAACTGAAAATATCTACTGTATATTTTAAAAGGGGATAATATAAAATGTCTTTAATTTATTATGTTTTAATTATCTTTTTAAAAAATTTACCTAACTTGCTTTCTACATTTCTAATAAAGAATGAAGACAAGTATGTCTCTCTCGGTGTTCCAAAGGATGCATTTAATATCTGAATATTGTCTAGACCTATATTGTACCAGTCCTTAGAAAAGTCATGCCGCGAAATGTGGAGGGTCACACAAACAGAGGAAGATCTTCAACAAACATGAATTGACACAGTGACTAACACTGACTCTGAATACATACATCAGAGATCATGAGGATGGCACCACGACAGGGCAGTGTTCAGAGCTGTTGTTCATAAAGTCATTATTAGTTGTAGTCAACTCTGTGGCACCGAACAACAACATAAAAGGTGGCACAGCAGTTCCCTGCTAATTTTGCTACTACACAAAAGTTGACAGTTTAAACCTGTCACTAGCAGGGAGAAAAGTGCAACAGTGAATGAATGGAAATCCAAAATCTCTGTAAATGTTCATTAAAATTAATAAAATAAAATTAAAAACAAACAGAAAAACCCCAAAACCTCCCACAAGCTCTGTGGGTCTGCAGTGGGCCTTTGTGGATCTCTACTGGCCTGCCAGTCTGCTTCTGTAAAGATTATAGTGGACATGAACCTGGAGGATTTCTTCTACTTTGTTGGAGTTGCTGTGAGTCACAGTTGACGCAGAACTACTGAACAGCAGTTGATAAGGAAATATAAGAAAGGCTTAACTATTGACCATATTCTGTCTCATTCTTTTGATGGTTTGCACAAGAAGTTGGAAACCATTCTTAAGTTAGCAGATCCTTAAATACTGGATTGTAAACTGTGAGGTCTTAGCAATTTAAATAATTAAAAATCCCAAAAGTTTTCAGAATCACTCATAGTGGTCCCTTTTCTAGAGGTTACTAAGGCAAGAAGAGGTAAAAACAAGATTACAGGCTTTTCCTCTTTCCCTTCCCTTTCTCACTATGATCAAGTTTCTTCTTCTTGGAACCATTTTGGAGCTCTAACAATTGAGAAATATACTAATTTTTAAAAAATTACATGCTAAGTCAACATCTAAAAATTTTTATCTTTTTCTTCAATAGTTAGAATTTTAGGGTATTACTGACATTTTTTTGTCACCTACTTTTTAAAACATCTAAATACTTTTGAATTGTGAATAGACTATATGAACTGCTAAAAGAATAATCAAATCTATGTAGGAGGAAGTACAACAAAGTGTTGCTTTTGAGTCAAGGGCAGAGAACTCCCATCTTACATACTTTGAGCATATAGTCAGGAGTCCTTAGAAGAAAGTTAACTTGCTAGGGAAGATAAAAGGTGAAAAGACCCTTCATGAGATGAGTTGATACAGTGAGCTTGGGAATGCCATAGATAATGAAGATGGTGCAGAATACTGGGGCAAAGTTTGTAGGAGCCCTGTGAATTATAGTCAACACAATAGCACTTAACAATAAAGAAATAGAAATAAAATAATAATTTGGTACCTACCACCATGTGTACCAGTTCCCTCAATTTGATTCTCCTTTAATTATACATGAAAGTTGTTTATGATCCTTTACACTTTCTGCAACTCGATTTTGTTTCCTTTAGCGTTAGGATTTTAAATATTGAAGTTCTACTTACCTAGTTGATCAGAACATGAGAAATATATATGGTTGATTCTGTTAACTGATTGTTGAATTGCTTATTTCATAGAGCTAGATAATGTTTCTCTTCCTAGTAATTAGAGTAGCCATAAAGGGAGCTCTGGTGTCCTAGTGGCAAGAAGGGACACAGCAATCGTGAAGGTGCACAGTTTGAATCCACTAGATGCTCGACTGGAGAAGGATTGGCAGTCCTCCTGTGCCAGTCAGATCTGACTTGACAACACACAACAAGAGGGAAAGAGGAGGATAGAGTAGCCGTAAGACTGAGTTCTAAAAAGGAAATAGGGTAAGAAAATAGGCTCTGAATTCCCTAGATTATCTCTTGGGAGAAATTTGAACTTTTCAGTATTTATTTTTGTTTGTGTTGCCTAGTACTGGCAGAATCATCAAGGTTTATCTATTGTTCCAAGGCATCTACCCTGAGGATCTTAGAAAAGACAACTTACACACTCTTCCCATGTATACTAAATGTATGCCTGTATTCTTCATGAATCCACCTAGAGTGATTAGAACTGTCATTCTTTTGCTTAGGTGCCATTGAATCAAGTACAATTCATAGTGACCCTGTAAACAACACATCTGAACCCTGACCTATCCTGTGCCATCCTCACAATTTCTGACACTCTTGAGCCCATTGCAAGTCATGGTGTCAATCCACCTGGTTGAAGGTCTTCCTTAATTTCACCAAACCTTCAACTTCCCAAGCATGATGTTCCTCTCATAGCAACATGCCCGAAGTATGTAAGACTTATCATCTTTGGCTCCAAGGAGCACTCTGACTGCACTCTTTCCAAGACATAATCTGTTCTTCTGGCAGTCCATGGGACTCTTCTCTAACATTTCGGTTAAGAAGCATCAGTTCTTCTTCTTTCATCCTTATTCATTGTCCATCTCTCAGATGCATAGCAAGTGATTGAAAAGACCATGGCCTGGATAGGGCACACCTTAGTGTGCTGATATCATTGCTCCTCAGTAATTTGGAGAGGTCCACTATTGCAGACTTTTCCAGGGTGGTACAATCCTTAATCTCCTGATTGTTGGTACCAAGGCTGCTCATTGTGACTCCAAGTGAGGTGAAATCATTAACAACTTGAATCTTTTCTCCATCTCTCATGATGTTGCTTATTGGTCCATTGGTGAAAATTTTTGTTTTCTTGATGTGGAATGGAGTCAAGCTTCTCAAATAATTTGCTCCACTTAAAGATTGAATAGGTACAGAAGAGGATACAATTCTCCTGACAAACTCTGTTTACAAATTTTAAACCATGTAGTGTTCTCTTGCTTTGTTGGCACAAACAGCCTCTTGGTCTAGATATAGGTTTCACATGAGCATAATTGAGTGCTCTGGGATTCCCGTTTTTCTCAGTTTTAGCCATAATTTGTTGTGAGCCACACAGTAAAATGCCTTTCTGTAGTCAATAAAGCACACATAGACATTCTTCTGGTATTCTTTGCTTTCCCCCTTTAAAAGGTGCAGCCAGATTGCTCAGTCAAAAAGAAATGAAATTTTGTCCCCCATACTTTGGGCATGTTACTTGGAGAGGCTGTTTCTTGGAAGACCCTGAACCAGGTGAATTGACACAGTGACTGCAGCAGTGGGCTCGAATGTGTCGGATTGGGAGGATGACACAGGATGTGATAGGGTCAGATCTTTTGTTCATAGGGTTGCTATGAGTCATACTTGACGGCACCTAAAAGCAACAACCCAATTCTACCTTTATCAGCCCCACCTAGGAAGAGATGAGAAGACCCACTGTTTTTGTTTGGTTTTTTTTTTTAAATTCTCTAAAACAGTCTGGTTGCACATCATTTCATGGGTGATTTTTTTCCTCTTTGGTGAGTACCGTGATTATTTTTTTCCCTGTTGCTACTTGCTTTTCTGTTTATACTTATGTTTTTATTCTAATATTTATACGCACAATCTGCTATCTGCTTCTGTCAAGCTGATTCTAACTCATCACAATCCTCCATTAGATAACACTGCAATCTTTATGGGAGGAGATGACTGCCCTCTTTTTCCCATGGAACATTCAGAGAGAAAGTGAAAAGATAGGATTACATAACAACAACATTACTTAAATTTTGTAATGTTACATTAAAGTAATGTAATTAATACTATATTGTGGACATTGTAAAGATTCAAATCACAAGGCTTTCAGTTAGCAGCCTGGCCTGTTGCTTTCTATGCCACCAATCACACGTATGTTTGGTTTTGTATGTTTTAGATGTATTTTCTCCCAACATGATGTTGTGGCTTGTAGATTAATATATATTTTAATAGTATCTTCTGATGCACAAATGCTGTGGTTGTTTTTTTTTTTACAAAAATTAATATAGTAGAATTTAGTCTATTTAGTCTACTGTAAATGAACTAATAGTCTTTTATGGTTTTTGTATCTTGGTGTGCATTCATTCATTCTCTGTTTTC